TGTAAAATAACGATACATTTACGATTTTGTTTCGATTGGTGGAGATTCGTGGAATTAATGGGTGTGACTGAACGTAGCAGAACATCAATAGATAAACAAATAAATAGACGAAAGGTGGGGAAATGTTCTTACAAGAGAGTAAAAGTTAGATTTATTTGAAATTAAACACTCAAAAATAAGTAAATTATGATAATGTTGAAAATAAAACCCAATGCGTCAAATAAGATCTTCACAAATCACATTTGTATAAATGATGTTTATACTAATATAGCTTTTTGTAATCTATTTTATTATTTATACATCTTCATTATTCTTACTATTACCTTGCTATTCTAATCCCTTTTATTATCATTATTTATCAGCATTTGCCGCCGTCATTATCACGGTTGCTATCATCCCTTCCATTTATATCCATCCATGCTTCTTCCTTCAGTTATTGTGAATTCCTGTGAATGCGAAAGGAAGGGAAAAGAAAGAATTGCAAACATTAACAGAAGCATTCCCTCACTAATGCAGCGTTGAACCCCAGGAAACGTCACTTCATATTTATGCTCAACAGCCACCTTCCCCCCCCCCCTCCTCCTCGCTTTGAATATTTATGTGTACGTATTTCAGCTCCCTTTGTAATTTTCTTACAAAGTGAACATATAAGCTGACTCACTGCTGGTGCGTCTTCGGGCAACGTCGCCATGAGAGATGGGACTTTCGGGGGGAGGGAGGGAGGGGAGGGGAAGGGGAAGGGGAGAGGGGTGAGAAGGGGATGGGGAGAGGGTTGGGGAGGTGGGGGAGAGAGGGAGAGGAGGGGGAGTGGAAGGGGAAGGGGAAGGGGAGAGAGGGAGAGGGGGGAGTGGAAGTGGAAGGGGAAAGGAGAGGAAATTGAGGTAAGAGAGAGAGAGAGGAAAGAGAAGGGGAAGAATAGATGGGGGTACAGGACTGGGATGGGGGGGGGTGAAAAAAGATGGGGGGGTGGGGGAAGCAGGCGATGGGTTTTACAAGAATGGCCAGTCAGCATTAGTCATGCTATTATCGCGACTGAGCTAGAAGGAGATTTCGCTGAGACACTCACCATGTCCTCCCCCCTCCCCTCTCCTCCTCCTCCTCCCTCCTCCCCTACCCCCACCCCCACCCCCACCCCTTCCCCTACGCTTGCACCCTCGATTGCAGGTCTTTGAATAATCGCAGATAATGATGGGGAGGGATGATTTAGATACTCATCGTTCCCTATATAGAATGTCTTTTGGCCACGTTGTTTGCAGGCCACGTGGACAGCTGGGCGATGGAGATGGGTAAAGATGCATCTACCGGGAGACGGGATTCCTCTCCTGCTTGGCCTCCGGGGGTGATTCTGCTGCTAGGAAACGGTCCCTTGGATGTTGCCAAAAAAAAGACGTTCCTAACCATGCGAAAGATCGTTTCGTATTACTCGGAACACAACTTAGATGAAAAAGAAAACGGAAAAAAACGATAATTAACAGAGAACGAGAAAAAGCACTTATAATCATCTCTCAAGTATGAACCTCAAGCAGATCCGTAATGGTCCGGATTATCGCCATCCCGAGTCCCACTCCTCGAATGCTGGCGGAAGCGTGATGGTTTGAGGACGCGTTCGGTCAGGGACCACGGCCTTCTTGGATTACTGGCCGATCGTAAAATTCAAGAAGCGCCCTTATCAACCCCCTTCATAGATTATGCACATAGATAACGCGTTACATGTATTTATTACTGGCAACAATTCATCGGCTTGTCTCCAGCGCTGAGTGACTTCCTACGACCGCACTTATCAGGAGGAGGGACCGAAGGGGCGTCCCGGGCTCTCTTCGTCCCGGCTGCGTCTGCGGGGCTTCTCTCTCTCTCTCTCTCTCTCTCTCTCTCTCTCTCTCTCTCTCTCTCTCTCTCTCTCTCTCTCTCTCTCTCTCTCTCTCTCTCTCTCTCTCTCTCCCTCTCTCCCTCTCTCCCTCCCTCCCTTTCTCCCTCTCCCTCTCTCTCTCTCTCTCTCTCTCTCTCTCTCTCTCTCTCTCTCTCTCTCTCTCTCTCTCTCTCTCTCTCTCTCTGGGGACATAGCCTAAAACCGAGAGATGTCCTCAGCTACCTGCAGGAAGAAAATGGCTGAGAGCGGACGGTGGAGGAGGAATAGGAAGAGAAGCAAAAGGAGAAGGAGGAAGAGATGGAGAAGCAGAGGTAGAAAAAGAAAGGGAACGGATAGCAAGACCCCAAATAAGGAAAGCAAGAGGAGAATGAAAGTAAAGAAAAAAAAGGAAAGAAAAAACAAAACAAAACAAAACAAAAAAAGAAAGAAAGAAAAAGTAAAAATAACCCAAGAAAGAAGCTCCAGAAACTCAAAGCCCCGCGAAGGCTTTCTGCCGCAGCCGAAGCAAATGGCTTCATGTTTACACTCGGGCCGGTGGAAGGGAATCGCCGGGCGGGAAACAGGTCGTATTCTCCCACCTCGCAGGGTTGCCCATTCGTGATTATTATGCGAGACAGATAGAGGCGAATATTTTGAGGAGAGACTTGAGCGGGCAGTTACGCGTGTTATTGGGTACGAATGGTTAATGATCCTCTTCCAGAAACTGGTCATCTTCCCGCGTCTCGTTTTTGATTATGTGCATAGTATTGTTTAATCTTCCTCTCCTTTTTTTTGTCATCGTGTTTTTTTTTTTTTGGTTTAGTTATTCATTCATTCGTTTACTCACGATATTTATTTTTTTTTTTAGATTTACATGTTTTTTTT